TGGCAGACAATGCCAGAATCCTCTTCTCCGTCATGGTACACTCAACATCATCATCTTGAATGATGACATCTTTCTTCAACACTTTAACAGCGTAGACTTCATCTGTACCTTTCTTTTCTGCCAACATTACCTGTCAAGATATATAACTGTCTATCAAAATGGAAATACCACTTTCTTTCATCATACTAAAGCATACCTGCTTGTCACATAAAGCCTGTAAAAATAACTTTCGACCAACATTCTGGTGTCTGTGAACACGCTACGTAATGCCGGGGTGCCAAGTTCGATCCTGGCTGCAGACAATTTGTCTTGCGCTGGTTTCAACAGTAGTACCCAGAAATGACCGTTCAGAAAAACAATGGCAAACTAATAAATATAAAATTTTCCTACACAAAACAACCACAACAGACCCAAAAAAAGCTGGGGTTAGTTCTGTAAAAGATATGCAACTAACTTAACCAACATTCTACAAACATGATGCCAAATAACACATGGTATGGACTCTGCCAAAACGTTCCCTGTTGTCCATTTTAAGCTTAGTATACTTGAGAGCATAGGTAAACCCCACAACAAAATCAAACCTGAGTTAAATGGAATGTGACCACTTTACCACTGAGCTTCAGTAAAGTATACAAGCTGTTACAATACAGCGACACTACAAAAAGTTCTTGTCATTGTTACAAATCTTTAATATTGTTGCATGTCCCTAATATTGTAATATATTCAGACATGTGGCTGCTGAGATGAAAGTCAGGTCAAACCAGTGAGGTCTTAGAAATATCTGAGCTACACTGCAAGTCGGTACTACTTTTTCTTTCTTACTGTGGCAGCTAGATTCTCATATGCCAGCCAGCCGTCCCCATGTGTGTTCCGGGGCCCTGTTACAGGGTAAATAAGAATAGACCCACCGCCTCCCCAAAAGCATGTCGTAAGAGTCGACTAAATGAGAGCTTCCTTCGAAGTCGGAATGCATCTGCCTGAGAGGCAAGGAACCAGCAGTCTGCATATAAATGAGACAGATCTGTAAAACAGATGCACATGCAACACTCAGGTTCTAGAACAGGACTGCAGTCCAGAAGTGGACGAACAACCAGAACCTTCCCAGAGAGTTTACAGATGGTGAACACCAAGAAAAAGAAGAACATGCCAGCCTGAAGATTCTAAATTCAAGTCTGCATCTGGGTACAATATTTTCACAGTGAATCTTGGCTGCCAGGTTGACCTAGCCTAAAAAAGCCACCAGGTAAAGTCCTGACAGGCAAAACTGGCCAGTGTCCTGTTGGCCACATCCCCCACTGTGTCCTTTTCTTCTCTTTTTAAAAGTGGAACTGTTAAGTACAGAAGATACTCGCCGTGTAGGTTCCAGACTGGGTCCCATTACTAGGAGATTAAAAAAAGACCCACTGAATCCTAGCAGGCATGTCATCTAATTAGGGAGTTTCATATAAAGTCAGAATGCATCTGCCTCAAAAGCAAGGAACCAACAGTAAAGACACAAATAAGCTAGAACTGTAAAACTGATGTGCATGCAAAACTGAAGTTTTGGAACCAGACCAAAGTACAGAAGTGGATGAACAATCAAACCTTTTTGCAAGAGTTTACAGCCAGTGAATGTTAAGAAGAATAAGAACATATAATACACTAGGGTAAAAATACAAAGAATATTGCCAACTAGCTGTACCCGGCCACGCGTTGCTGTGACCCAGTCTGGCTAAATGAAAAAGAAAGAAAATAGAAAGCGCACGTGTCTAATGTGGTTAATTTCACAATCATTGTCTGCCAGACATAGAGATAGTCTGGTTTGCTGACTCTAGAACATGCACCATTAAATTGTATCCTTATATTAGTGGTTGTGTAAAGTGTATTATTAATATTAAGATTTTAAAAAATGTGTTATTTGTTTATCACATGCGAAAAGTTTTTGTATTTTGTACTATACTTCTTATTATGGAATTGTACAGATAGAATTACAAAGGTCAGATTTTTAAGAGCATGCATCTTTCCCATTGCAACATACGCCTGTGAGACCTGGACACTTACTAAACAAGCGGAACAGCGCATAAATGCATTTGAATATAAATGTTACAGACAGGTTCTAAGAATATCTTGGGTAAAGAAAAGAACAAATGCATCCATACTTCAAGAGCTGAATATTGAAGAGGGTTGGCTAGTAAAGACAATAAAACAAAGAAAATTGAAATATTTTGGTCACTTGAAACGTCATGGAAGTCTAGAGAGAACAATAATGGAGGGGTATATGCCTGGGAAGAGAGGAAGAGGAAGGCCAAGGAGAAGATGGGTGCAGGATGTGGCAGACGATCTCCAGATGGGTGTATCAGACGCAGGACATCTTGCTCAGGATAGGAAGGTTTTCCGGAGGGTTGTTATGGCAGCGAGGTTCCGCGAGGGACATGCTACTGAATGAATGAACTATACTTCTTAAAAAAAAAAAAAAACATATTCACAAAGCAAAAAACTAAAAAAAAATTAGAACAGCTGAGGTAGCGTTATTAAAATATAAACAATTTTAAAAATTAAAACTTTAAAATCATGTTTTAAGCTCTCTCAGCTATCAGTTTCTGTCATCACACCCCGCCCCCAAAACGACTGACTATCCCCGTCTCCCTCTCATTTATCACCTGACAATAATTTTTTTTTTATTGACCTTGGTGTCCGTGTCCACACACACTAAAATGGGTAGCATGAATAATAATGAGAAGTGAATACAGCCAGTGTAATATTTACCACATAATTTATTATACAGCTTGATGCAGATTTCTGAGTTCAATAGTCAAAGTTTGCCTACAACCCATGCCGGAAACGCAGCAACAACAACACAAATTGGATCATCGAAGTGGCGCGGTGATTTATGTCACAGGCGTGAGGGAAAGTTAAGTCCATCATGATGTGTTTAAGGAGATACTCCGTACGTCACTAGGGCGCCAGTCCTTCACTGTTCTGGTTTTACGGAACCTAATGCAAGACCCCTGCAGCTCGTCCTCGTCGTGCGCCACGGATAATGTCTCAAATGAGCATTAACAGAGCTGTCAGGGGATCTCAGAGTTTAGCGGCCCCCAGAGGTGATGTGTTCATGTGGCTCTCATCAGCCCGCCCCCAAACGCATGGGTGAAAAAGGTTATCAAAACTCATTAGGAATATGAGTAAAGTGCTTGCCAAACGCACAACTAAAATTACAACCCTTGGTTAAAAGATTGCGAAGTGAAGAGAACATTGTTCTGCTGAGACTCAACCCTTGACCTAGAGATTTACCCGCAGCACAGATGAGTAACATCTCCTGTGGGTGGAGTCTCACAGCAAGATTCTACCCATGAACATCCTCTGTTAACCCTCAGTGTCGTCGTCACCGCGTTGAGGTACACCACAATAGCAACAGCCCATTGGCTGGCTAAGCCGAAATGTCCGACAAAACTAGATCCTACGGCACACGAGTAAGCTCAAAATCCGACCATCACAAATCGTACTGAATGGGGAAAAGTCCAAATATCCACACCCAAAGACCCCACTCGCCCGAGTGTTGGGACCAAACAGATAAGGATATGCCTGACACAGGATGTTAAATTATGTCATGCTAACGGCGCGTCAAAGATATCTAACGTGCGAAGAAAAAGAATGTACCTATTCGTATGGTCACAAAAGTCCAGAACCCGCGGGCTGCTCCCCGCTGATTTCCGGAGGGCACAGCCCTTGTCGAGCGGGACGCCTAATACGGTTGTGAGGTTAAGCAGGCATGTGCCGGACGTGACGATTCCTTGGGTGAGCCCAAGGGGCTGCCCCAAAGGGGTACTCCGGGGGCAACACCTGCGGAGAAGGCGACAAAGAGGACATCACACAAATCAGGCAACGTCTCGACCCACATAAAACAATGGCCACAGTCATCCTAGAAATAGGCCTGACGTCTTCCCTCGAAGTCGGGGTACATCTGCCCGCGAGGCAGGGAACAGCAAAACGGTTGTACACGCAAATTTTAGGTCCAGGTAAAAGCCAAAAGTCCAATCGGACGATTAACCGGGATCTTCCGCTGGAATTCACAGCCGGTGAACGAAGAAGAAGAAGGATCATTGAAAAGCAAAACAGAGATGCTGAAATGATCGTCACTAGAGCTATGTAAATTGTGCTTTTTGTGACACTCTTAGATAAAAACACTCTAGTACTCTAATGCAACGGTGTACCAAAATTTGAAAGCATTTGGTAAAGAAATGTTGGCATACAGCTCCATGCAGATTTCTGAGGTGAACAGTCAAAGTTCGCCTTCCAGAGAAAGGCAAAACCGCGCCGGTAACACTGCAACGAAACTAAAGCCGATGTGATCATTGCTGGAGCTATGTGGTTCGTGCTTTGTGCGACACTTTTATATAAAAACATGTGCATATTCGAATGCAAAGGTGTGTCAAAATGTGAAAGTAATCAGTGAAGAGCTTTTGGAGATCAGCTACCACTAACAGAGGAACATTTAAATATTTATTTCTATAGATTCCTGTCAACAGTCTCTACAGATAAAACCTGGTGTCAATAAGATCTGCCAACCACATATTATTTTCTATCAGAACAGGAAATCTATCATTTATTGCCAATTAATCACACACAACAATGAAATGTATTAATCAGTTTATAATGATTTTTATAACTGTATTTAACTTTTTACAACAATTTTTAATAACAATTGCTTAGAACCGTTTAAAGCTTCCTTACATGAACATGTGATAGAATATTTTCTTCTTTCGTGTAAACTCTTAAAAAGGCACTTGGCACTTTGTGTTGTGGTTTACAGCTTGTCTCAGACATGAGCAATCTTTAACCCAACACATCTGATTTCCGCAAACCCCTAATTTTATGACATGTTTATTAGGAGGCGAGGGTCCATTCCTTTTTTCCCCTCCCAAAATCAGGTCTCGAACCGACTCCGGAAGGATAGAATAGGCCTGGGACATAAACGGTCTGCAGGAGTTCCCATGATTTTAAAATAAAAAATGTCAGTTTACCTTGCCGAAACTCCCCTTGCCTAGAACTTTAATAAAAGTGAAGTCATGCAGGCTCAAGCGACTCATGTGTGACCCCATCCGGTCGCTTAACGGGCTATGGGTCATGGAGCCCCTGTGCTGATAGCCAGCACCCGAGTGATCATCCATACAGCCACCTCTGTCTTGTCCGTCGCCTGGGTAAAAAAACAATGTGTCTAAATGTTTTTACCAAGTCAAAAAAGTTAACAAAGGAATAAAACATTTTGACGTCAACAAATACTTTTTTTTTTTATTAAACCTAAACATTTCAACCAGCTTAGCTCAGCTGAGTTTAGCTAAGTTATGAACTGACATCACAGTATTAAGGACACTTCCACAAGTGCTCTGTCCCCATCTTCAGCAGCCCGCGAAGAACGCCAATAATGACAGTGCCACTAAATGTCTGGGCACTCCTTTGAACAGCGATCCTAGGGGGGTGTAATCTATTGAAACTTCACATTACTTTAACAACAGGCTTTAAGGGATGTGTGTGGCTGTATTACTGAGGCACACATATATGTGTGTGGCTGTACTGCTGAGGTGCTATGTGTGTGGCTGTTTAGCTGAGGCGCACACACTTGAGTGTGTAGCTGTATAGATGAGGTGCAGACGTGTGTGCGTCGGTGGGGCTGTATAGCTGAGGCACACATATGGTTAGCTGTACTACTGAGGCACAGAATTATGTGTGTGGCTGTATTAATGAGGTGCACACATATGTGTGTGACTGTATTGCTGAGGCACACACATATGCATGTGGCTGTATTGCTGAGGCACACAAATACAAGATTTCACACAAATGTATTCACGTGGAAGAACTCATGTAACACATATTTGTGGCTGCAATGACTTTTTTCTTCATTTTCCTCTTCTTCTTGTCTTCCTCTTCTTCTTCTTTATCTTTGTCTTCGTCTTTTTCTTTGTCTTCCTCTTCTTCTTTGACTTCCTCGTCTTCATTTGTTTTCCTCTTCTTCTTTGTAAAAATGTATTGACCAAACATCTATGTATAAGCACAGTGTAAATAAAGACCAAAATCTGAGGATGAAAAAATATTCACTTACCTGGCATCATAGGTATCGGAGATGAAATAGATCTTTCATGCATTGTAGTGTTCTTGTTCTGGTAATCAGCCATCGGAAGCTGAACAAAGGGACGGGTAACTCTTGTTAGCAGTTTAACTTCAATCAATGATTAATTAGTTGCTGGTATAAGTTATTTTACTACTTACTTCACAATTAAACATTTTAATCTGTGCCGTCTCTACAATGGAGGTCTGCTGCAGTGCTCCCACTGCCATCTTTAGGAATATCCTAGCACTCCAGGCAAACTCATAGGTGCTCTGTCTCCCTCAGCAAGTGTAAAACAGTGTATATGCTGACTGTCCCAGGATCACAGGTTGTAAACATGTCAGATTTATGCCCTCATACAACCCCTGCCCCTGTTAGGTCCACATCTAAATCCATGGGGACCCCATTCTGTAAGCGGGTGTGCATGCAAAACTCAAGTTCTGGAACAAGACCAAAGTCCAGAAGTGGACAAACAACCAGTATTGTCCACCATAGTTCATATCCAGTGACAGTTAGGAAGAAGAAGAAGAAATCCACGAGAATTCTTAATTGTATCTGTTACTGTCTCTTCAACAAGCAGCTTTTATTTATTAGGTACTCTTCAAAATATCAGCAGCCAATGTTATGGCTAGATGCTCACTTGCTGGCACAAAGGTCTTGAGTTCCCATCCACATCAAGACAGACTGTTTTTTCTTTCCCCAAATGGATCTTAGAACCCAGGTCCACCTGGCCTAAATGTGGGCAAGTAATGTCCTGAAAAGTAAAGGTAGATAGTCCGACACTGACCACATCACCCACTGAGTGTCGACTGATCTATACAAATACGAGTCTATAGCATCATGTGTCACTGGTGTCAGAAGGGTCCTTTGCTCAACTTCCAAGTATCTCCCTGATTATTTCTGATTGTTTTAACTACTGGTGGAAGCCACTGTGGTGCCACGGTTAGATGCCTGCCTGTGGATCAGAAGGTCATCGGTTCATTTCCGAATGGAGCTGAAAATTTTTCACAAATGATCTTGGCTCACAGGTTGACCCAGCCTTGAGCAAATACCAGGTAAAGTCCTCCGAAGTAAAGGGCATGGAAAAGAGTCATTTAGTTTTAGCTGCTGGTGCTCTTGAAGCCAACAGATCTGCTCACACACTGCCTCACATTCCAGAATGACATGACAAGTACAGTGATTGTGTTCTGGTGGTTCTATCACACAGTTATCACCATAAAGCTGTGGCAATCACAGTCCCCTCTGTCATCTTACTTGAGGTTGTAGACCTTCAGACTCCAATTCTGTCCAGCGAAGAGATTATACCCAACTCTAGCTGGGACACCCCAACAGATTTCTATCCCACGATGCACAGAACTATGTACACCACAGATGCTCGGTCTCCTACATCATCATCATGTACCATGCTGGTAATTGTAGGCTGTGATGTTTCACCATCTCACATGATCATCAGAATCACAGATCATGTTGGTATTCTTGTCTCGCTCCATCCATTTGGACTAGCCATCCTGGTATTTCTCTCTCTGCCTTCCCCAATTCTCTTTCCACCAATTTTGCCAACTTTTGCTAAGTTTTCCAGTTCATTTTCTCCTCTTAATTATTTCCGAAAAACCCAGACTGTCTACAAATTATGATAATCAGTTTATGACTTTCATCTGTCTCGAGGAGAAGCACCTCAATGGTTTTTTTTATCATTCCATAATTTTTTCTGCATTCTTCTAAAAAAACCACACCTCCGCTAGGAGTATATGATAAATGAATGAATATTTCCACAAACACAATGTAACTGTTTGTGATGCAATATGTCCACAAACAGAGATATTGTCCAAATTTTACATTACACATTCTGACCTTTTCCTTCTTTGATTTTTGTCGAAGCTGGCCTCCAGAGATGCCCATTTCTTGAAGGATTTGAGCCATGTACTTTGTGTTTGTCCCGCAGTTGTTGGCCACATTTTTCTGGCATCGCTTATGAATATTCATCTTGCAAACTGAAAAAAAGTGGTAAATACAGAAAATGATGTTACTGGACTGTTACTATAAGATAACTCTATAACTAAAGAAAATGATGTGTTGCTGGACATGCTACTATAAGATAACTCTTTAACTGTAGAAAATGATGTGTTGCTGGACTGCTACTATAAGATAACTCTATAACTGTAGAAAATGATGTGTTGCTGGACTGCTACTATAAGATAACTCTATAACTGTAGAAAATGATGTGTTGCTGGACATGCTACTATAAGATAACTATAACTGTAGAAAATGATGCGCTACTGGACTGTTACTATAAGATAACTCTATAACTATAGAAAATGATGTGTTGCTGGACATGCTACTATAAGATAACTCTATAACTATAGAAAATGATGTGTTGCTGGACTGTTACTATAAAATAACTCTATAACTATAGAAAATGATGTGTTGCTGGACTGTTACTATAAGATAACACTATAACTATAGAAAATGATGTGTTACTGGACTGTTACTATAAGATAACTCTATAACTATAGAAAATGATGTGTTGCTGGACATGCTACTATAAGATAACTCTATAACTGTAGAAAATGATGTGTTGCTGGACTGCTACTATAAGATAACTCTATAACTGTAGAAAATGATGTGTTGCTGGACTGTTACTATAAGATAACTCTATAACTGTAGAAAATGATGTGTTGCTGGACATGCTACTATAAGATAACTCTATAACTGTAGAAAATGATGTGTTGCTGGACTGCTACTATAAGATAACTCTATAACTATAGAAAATGATGTGTTGCTGGACATGCTACTATAAGATAACTCTATAACTATAGAAAATGATGTGTTGCTGGACTGCTATTATAAGATAACTCTATAACTGTAGAAAATGATGTGTTGCTGGACTGTTACTATAAGATAACTCTATAACTGTAGAAAATGATGTGTTGCTGGACATGCTACTATAAGATAACTCTATAACTGTAGAAAATGATGTGTTGCTGGACTGTTACTATAAGATAACTCTATAACTGTAGAAAATGATGTGTTGCTGGACATGCTACTATAAGATAACTCTATAACTGTAGAAAATGATGTGTTGCTGGACTGTTACTATAAGATAACTCTATAACTGTAGAAAATGATGTGTTGCTGGACATGTTACTATAAGATAACTCTATAACTGTAGAAAATGATGTGTTGCTGGACTGTTACTATAAGATAACACAATAACTGTAAATATAATGATGCGCTACTGGACATTTACTTATAAGATAACACAATAACTGTAGATATAATGATGTGCTACTGGACTGTTACTACAAGATAACACTATAACCCTAAATATAATGATGTGTATTAGACTGCTGAAGCCACTCCTGTGCATATCATTTCTGATCCACTCCCGTCTACCAGGCCCCCCCCCCACCCCATGACAGCAAACTCCATGATCATCCTCTCTTTAATCAGCAAACCTAAAGAAATTTCTTCTTCTTCATTTCCCCTGGCATATTGTGTTGTGGTTTACAGCTAGGTTGCAATTTTTGCACTTCTGGCTCAATGCACTAAACTTCTGCAATCCCTAAAGCAATCGCCTTTCATGATATGCTTGTTGAGAGGGGTAGGTAATCTACCCTCCCCCCCCCCCTCCACCCCGGCCAATCCGCTGAAATGGGGATCCATAACCCAGTGTGAGAATTAAAGAAAATATATATATAAACTCATTGCTTTAAACATAAATGTATAATTAGAATGTGACCAAACTGTGCTGACCATCACACTGGAGCCCTTGCTTGACCAGTCCATACAGGAGAGAGCCACAGTGATCACAGAATGTCGGTCGTCGGTAGTTATGTACATTAAACCTGTGGGGAACATTGATGTTGAATCTTGGGCCAGTCACCTGCAAGCAAACAAGGTCAGCTTATCTCAAAGCAGATGACATCATACCATATTTATCAGTGTATAAGGTGCTCCATTGGATAAAATGCACAACCCCCCCCCCCCCCCCCCCCCCCCCCCCCCCCGAATGACAAATTTCTGGAAAAAACTCACATTATTACGGTTTTTCCCGGCTGCAGGAGGTCTGAAATAACATTCTGCTAAGACCACCAAAGTCTTATGGTTTTTCCCAGTTGCAGGAGGTCTGAAATAACATTCTGCTAAGACCACCAAAGTCTTACGGTTTTTCCTGGTCACTGGAGGTCTGAAATAACATTCTGCTAAGACCACCAAAGTCTTACGGTTTTTCCTGGTCACTGGAGGTCTGAAATAACATTCTGCTAAGACCACCAAAGTCTTACGGTTTTTCCCAGTCGCGGGAGGTCTGAAATAACATTCTGCTAAGACCACCAAAGTCTTACGGTTTTTCCTGGTCACTGGAGGTCTGAAATAACATTCTGCTAAGACCACCAAAGTCTTACGGTTTTTCCCAGTCGCGGGAGGTCTGAAATAACATTCTGCTAAGACCACCAAAGTCTTACGGTTTTTCCTGGTCACTGGAGGTCTGAAATAACATTCTGCTAAGACCACCAAAGTCTTACGGTTTTTCCCAGTCACGGGAGGTCTGAAATAACATTCTGCTAAGACCACCAAAGTCTTACGGTTTTTCCCAGTCGCGGGAGGTCTGAAAAAACATTCTGCTAAGACCACCAAAGTCTTACGGTTTTTCCCAGTCGCAGGAGGTCTGAAAAAACATTCTGCTAAGACCACCAATGTCTTGCGGTTTTTCCCAGTCACGGGAGGTCTGAAATAACATTCTGCTGAACTATTCCCTTATTTTATCACCTGGAGTTTAAACCTCATGGTCTAGGAATGCCGCTTACTATCTTTATTTTTATTGTTTTGTTGGGTTTTTTTTTTTTAATACTGCCGGTAACTATGAAAATTATTGGTACACGTTAGCCTACCTTTGTTATAAATGATGCAACCTCATTTTAAGGCCTATTCTGAGAACCAAGAAGTGTGTCTTATACACCAGCAAATACAGTAAGTAGAAACAACACGTCTCACAGAAGGCCGAAGTTATTCATAAATATACCCAATGTCTAAAACAGGGACAACTGTACTTTCGCTGATACAAAAAAAAAGCAAAACAAATCAATCTGATGTCTAAAAGAGAGGTCACTGTACTCATACTGATAAAAAGAAGTAATTTAACACAACAGCTGATGAACACTTGCCTGCATTTAGCATAAAAGCGGTCATAGCATTTGCTCAAACTGTATGTATCAAATATTTGACTATGCAGACACATTTGTGGGGAAAAAAAAGCCTGATGATTCCCCCACCCCCCCCCCCCCTTTCCACTCTTCCCCCACTAGTGACTAGTAAACAAGCACTTTACCAGAAATGGCACATCAAATACCCACACACAACAGACATATCTGGCTACTGCTGCCTTACACAGCTGTGGACCAAACTGGCCACTCTATGATATAGGTTTAGTTGTGTCATGCCTGTGTGGTGAGTCACACTGAATAGACAGTAAGGCGGTTCTTTTCTCCACCAACTGATCTTGGCTTCACAGAACAGCATACTGTACTATAAAAAAATTATGTCTTCCCTGCCTTTTTTACCACATCAAGTGTCGAGGGAGTTATAAGGTTCTGGTAGAACTGGAAACTGTCGTCTCAGAGCACACCTGCATAAAATGAGTCTTGTTAACTCTGCTGCATGTGGTTGTGGCTCACCAGACTCCAGAGCATGTCTTCAAGGACTGGCCAGACTCTGCCATGGAGACCAAAAATCTGACACACAGGAGCATCTGCACAAGACAAACTATGGGCCTCCAGAGCATGTCTTCAAGGACTGGCCAGACTCTGCCATGGAGACCAAAAATCTGACACACAGGAGCATCTGCACAAGACAAACTAAGGGCCTCCAGTGAAAACCTCAAGCGTACTATACTTTTTCTGGCTTGTAGTGGGATGAGTACAGTCACATGTCAAACCAACACCCCTCTGGTCTTAGACTTATCCTCATCTTGCAACCCTCTATGTAAATGACCCATTTTCAAAGCTTGGACTTTCCTCCTTAGGTATATAGTCTCTCTTTACTTAGTAAGGGTCAAGATATTGGATAGAGGACATATTTCTATCCTAATTCTCTTGGGAATGAAATATATTTAAATGAAACCTAATCAACTACAATTAATAATAGCAGACACAAAATTATCTAAATTCAGAACTGTATGATACCAATAAAAACTACCCCTACTTCATGAGCACTCAACAAATAGCCAACAAGGTAACACATCTGGCCTTGCAGCACAAATATTGGCTCCCCACAACTCCTAATGGCAGGTGTGAATGAGAACAGAAAAAGCTCATGTACATAGGCTGGGCTACGGACAATAAAGTTCTGCTTACCTCATCATTGGCCACATCCCTGGATCCTGGACATTTGGTGACTATATGTTGGTGGCAACGTTTGTGTACAACACACGTACACACTGCAAGAGAGACATCATTTACTTCAAATAATTATATATTATCCCTAGAAGACACTGCACCGACAGACTGACAGAGAGCACTGCTCTTCTGACCCGGCAGCTTCTGCAGCATGCCTTGTTCCAAATGTACTGGTGTTATCTTTTCTTAAAAGTTTTTTTTTTTAACAATTTAAAAAAAAAAACACAGGTTCAGTGAGGTATCATGCTGCAAATGTAACACATGGTCTCTACAATACTGCCAGTGGTTTGCTCTTTGGAGAGGGGGAACATTATCACTGGCCTGGGTACTGCCACTGGCTGCAAATCCTATGTCTTCCTGTATTATATTATTGTCTAGATGAACGACATTAAAAAATAAAATGTAAAAAAAATTGTATAATTCTCAAAAGCAAGTGTCACGTCTAAACTTATAGTCGGCTGTAATGATTTACCAGCCCCTAAGCCCTGTATGGTTGCACTGACAAAGGTATCTTGCAGTCATTTTCTTGATGTTGTCTTCCAATATAAAATACTGTGTACACTTACACAATAATTATAACTGGTGCCTATATAATACTATTACAATATTAGGCTGACACTGGGAAAAAAATTAAATTTAAAAAAACAAAGAAATCAATTTAAGCCCTCAGACATTGCTCCTTCTCTCTCTCTCTCTCTCTCTCTCTCTCTCTCTCTCTCTCTCTCTCTCTCTCTCTCTCTCTCTCTCTCTCTCTCTCTCTCTCTCTCTCTCTCTCTCTCTCTCTCTCTCTCTCTCTCTCTCTCTCTCTCTCTCTCTCTCTCTCACACTGTGTGTGTGAATAAACTCTAGCAGTCCTGGTACTTATTTGCAGGATTATTAATATTAAGTACAGATATGCAAAAGGGTAGTATACTTCCTTTGATCCTGACATAGTACAACTGACCTTCTTAGATAAAGGTGAAAAGCTACAGAGGCCCAACTGCTTTGGTAAAAGACTAGTTTTAAAAAAAAAAGCAGGTAAACAGTTTTAGGCATCTAGTTTCCAAACAAAGCAGGTAAACAGTCTTAGGCAACTAGTCTTCAAACAAAGCAGGCCAAATCAACCACTACCCACATTAAATTCCAAATCAGAAAACCAAGCCATAAAACAAATATCCATAACATATGTGATTCTGGTATACATAAATTATGATCACCACCGGTGCTGAAGAGTTCATGCACCCTGCTAAGGTTCTTGCTGTGTGGTCTATCAAGGGAGAAAACTGCCACTTAAAAAGTATCTGTGTGCAATAAAAGTCATTCTTTATCAAACCAGAGGAAACCAACCATAGGACATTATGATTCTTTCACATTTCTTCCTGCCTCATCTGTTGGCCATCTGCTGCTTGAGAAAGCTATTAATCTGTGGCACAGCCCTAGGTATCAACATTGTGGCAATCTGTCAACAATGTAGGTCTCTGACAGAACTTGCGAGTTGCAGTTACGAGCCACATCAATAAAGAGATCAGTTCAAGCAGTAATAAATGCTGTGAATGACCTACCTTGACACTGGTAACCTTGTTTGCCAATGCCCCTGTTATAATCAAGAAGAGAAAATATATTAGGTTTAGTCTGTGTCAAACATCCATGGAATGATTATGTAAGCAGAAACACTGAAATAAATCCACAACAAACAATGCTTTTAAAGCAAGTCTTTTACATTTGGTGGTTTGCTGACCCCAGGGGTTTCACGAAACAAATTTCAGGGGTCTGAGATAGCATTTATACTTAAAAAAATTTGCCTTAAAATACAATCCTTGTGCTTCTCACCATCATCATGTAGCAGGCACTTTGCAGCACTTCATTCACATCACAGTCTGCCTGATAGAAACGATGTCTCACCAGCTCTTCCGCCTCTTGTACTTTCGTATCTGAGAAGTCACTAATATCCTGTGCCCATCTTTGTGTTGGTCGGCCTCTCCTTTCTAGTACCATGCCTTCTGCTATTACATTTTTCAATTCATCGTGACGTTTGATACGACCAATTTATTTTAGCTTCCTAAACAAGATGCTGTTTATCAGACAATCTTCCTTGATCTTGATGTTCAGATCTTTTAAAATGTCAGTATTTCTCCTCTTCCTTGTCCACGGTATTCTGAGAATCTTTCTATAGCATTTCAGCTCAAAAGCTCCTGTTTTATTTCATATGGGCTGGAAGATAGTCCATGACTCACATCCATATGTTGCTACGGGGAAGATGCATGCTCTCAAAATGTGGGTGGGTCGGTGGTCGGTCAGGCAGGTGTTGGGAGGGGGGGGGGGATCAACACATTCAGTACAAGAAATGATTTCCAGGTCTGCTGTAATCATTCTCTACCTTTTTGTGTCACATTTGTTTTCAAGGTGCACTCATATTTCTTTCAACCCTCACCTTCATGCTGACTATAAAAATATTTCCTTAAAAACCTCAAGCTGTTAACAGATTTTGTTAACAGACCTAACCGCAAAGATAAGTGATTTTTTTTGTTATTCTTATTTGTAATTGTATCATTGTCTATCTGTGTTACATGCTGATGAAGGCATTATAGCTGCAACGTTTATTTTGTCATTCCTGACTGTGGTACTGTGAAGGTGCTAGCTCTACTGTTCCTGTTTGCAGATAATTTGTCAAGCCTTTAAGAGAAGAATTTACTTCTTTATTATTTGTGTTTGTTCCTTAAATTGTTCCCACCTACATTAAATTCCTTTTGAATTTTTACTCTGTCAGTAAGCTGCATTTCTTTTATGTCTCAAGTATTTTGCCCGTCTAACTTTGATCTCAAGCAGTAGTTCTATTCAGTCCCAGGTCTTTATTGCACAGATACTAGATCACAACCTGGGCAGATAAGGTGATCAATTACAGCCTCAACCAACTGACAGCTACATGGGATCAACAGTTTAGTCTGGTGTGCCAAAGTCAGGCCCACCCCAATAACTACAGCTTTGATGTTGGGTCTGTTACTACATGCTTCAGGTTTAACCCATGAGTGGTCCCCAACTGTCTGCCTATGAGCATCATAGGCACTGCAAATCTGCAGCATGTCCTATCATCCCACCATGGCCATCATGTACCATGCCAGTAAGTGTAGGCTGTCACGTTTCCCCATAACACAATTAATTACCAACCAGGTCAATGTTCTTGTTTCACCCCATCCATGAAGCTAAGCCAGCCAGATTTTTGTCTCTTTGCCTTCCCCTTGCCCTCTTTCCATCAATCTTGCCAACTGCTACTAAGATGTCATGTCAATCCAGAAATATACTGATTGTAGACTGCAATGATAGTACAATACATCTTAATGACAGTTGTGGTTTTACTGTCAATTCAAAGTTTAAATCACCTAGTTTATGAGAATGTATGGTGGTGAGCAAGAAAGCAGATCCCTTTATGTCAAAACCAAAAATGTGAAGGCCCAACTAGCACAGCAACTGTATTATCTATGATCAGACTATGTTTTGACTAATAGTTAGTTAGTTTGTGTCAAGTTGTTTGCATCGAGCTCTGAAGGTGGTAGGATCATTTCAAGGCTGCATCATTGAGTTCACAGGTTTAATTTTTACTGAGATACCTAGGGATCATCATTGGAGCTACGGGGCCATGCTTAGTATAACATTCTCAGCAGGCAACTAGCCATTCTTCAGGAAGAGACTGAGCTATATGGGATAAAACCTGGTGCAATGAAGTCAGAGTTAGTTGCCTATTCTTTACAGGACGTTGCAGAACCAACCCCAGCATTTTTTGGCTGTTGTGGTTTTTAGGCAAATTTATGTCCAGTAGTTTGCCATTGCTTTCTGGATGGTCAGCTTCTTGATACCACTGTCGAAACCAACTCAAGGCCAGCAGATGGGATCAAACCCGGCACCCCGGCATTAAGAAGCTCATCCGCAACGCCTAAGCCACAGACGCCGACAACTAAGTCAACCCTCTCAAATTTTAACTACAACTTAAATAAATGTTAACCAGTCATGTATCCTTTACAGGACATTGTAGAACCAGCCCCGGTATGTTTCTGGCTGGCGATGATTTTACTAGGCAGTTTTACGTTCAGTAGTTTGCCAGTTTACTGAATGGTCATCTCTTGATCAACGAAATCAACCAAATGTGGCAGCTAAGTGCAACTTGGAATTACGAAATGCCAAAGGCTTGATTGACAGAGCGTGAGCTTATAAGCTATTTTATAATTTATTTAGTCTTCTTTGTCTCTCAAAGAGGAAAATCGTGGATGGCTCAAGCAAAAGACACAATGAGAAAAGTATGCATGATGGAGAACAATAGGCGAGCTGATATTGAACAACGCCTACTTTTCCTTCTCTGTCAAGGGCTTGTATTAAGCATCATTGACTATGGTCTTGGCCTCAATGTCAGCAAAACCCAGATAGAAAGACTGGACCGAGTACAGAATGAGGCCATGAGACTCATACTCGGCTGCACAAAAGACACCTCCTGCAACATCATGTGTTATGTCCTGGGTTTGCCGACGATGACAAGCAGATACAAAGTGGCACAGGTCAAAGCATACATGAGGGTATCGGCAGACGTTAACCACACACTGCACAAAGCTATACATGACACAAAAGGAACGCGTCTCAAAAGAGGCCGCTCTTGGATGGCAAAGGCTGAGAATTTAATCCAGCAAGTATGTGACCTAGACGTGATCAGTCACGGAAAAGAATGGATGAATACACCAGTAGACATGCATGGCATCTCTAAGGTTGTCATCACTCGGAATGTACTGCATGAATCAAATTCCTGCGGCCGTAGACACAGAAGTAAGGGAACTGATAGATCAGCATTCAGAACCAGAAGATATCATCATCTACACAGATGGATCCGTGAAGCGCGGATCAAGGTCAGCATGGGCATACACAGCGCAAAGAAGGGGGAAAACAATACAGGAGGACAGCGGCGCTTACCAGACAACAACGTCAAGCATGACCATGGAAAAAGCAGCTGCTTCTAAAGCTTTAGCATGGGTATCTGAGCAAACCGCCACACAGGCAGTTATTGTATCAGACTCCATGAATATGCTTAAGAAGATAGCAACAGGCGGTATGCGCTCTGAATGGGTAGAAAGCATTAGAAAATCGAACCTCCGTAACCTGGATCTACACATCAGGTCATGTGGGCGTAAAGGGAAATGAGTGAGCGAACCAACTGGCAAGCACTGCACTAAGGATTGCGGGAAAAGCATGGACAGAGCAGATATCGTCAACGCTGTACGGACTGGGCTAGTGGATAATGAGGAATCCCTGACACTGGCACGTTTGCGTGACATGGAAGTAAAGCATGGTGAAGCACGTCTATGCCGTCTTCGGGGTCGAGATAGGAGACAATACAACCAGCTTCTCATGGGAACAATTAGAAGAAGTACTTTAGAGTGGCTGCTGCATCGAAGGACTGATGGTTTGACAATGTGAGCTGCAGGTTTCATTTGAACTGTGATAAACATTGTGTGTTTTTCGCTGGCACAGGAGCGGAGCAACTATTGGGTGACCCGCTTGCTATGAAGCTGAAACTAAGATTACCAGATCGATCTGCAATTGACAAAGCATGTGCCAGATTCTTAATAAATCTGTTTAACCCTTCTGCCAGTATCCATGTCTTAGGGTGCCTAGTATGAGTTGAACATTGTTCAGTCTGTCATAAATTGTTTTTGATACGATAAGTCAACATCCTATAGATTATATTCAGATAGTGCCTGTGTGTTGGGACATGAACAGGCAGAACAACTGGTTGATTCTACACAACAGAGTGATGAACTGATGATCAGCACTGGTACTGGAACTGTGCTGGCTGCTGTAGTTGGAGACAGAGCAGTTATGTGAATCCTAAAGTGCTGTGATCTCAGATCTTAACTATTATGATATGAAAAAGGACTCCCTGTTTGCTAGACCAAAACGGTAACAGCTGAAATGTGAATTTTTTTTGGATAAATAATCTTGACAAATTTCTTCTTTGAAAAAAAGACTTGTTCTGTCTTGGCATTACGCTCTGTTGACTGAAACATCTGCTCCTACATTACTGGCTATGCAACATTTGTGTACAGTAAGTAAAAGTAAAGGACCCTTTTCACCCCAGTGGCGCATCAGGCATACGATCTATCTGGTTGTCCCCTCCGGGCTGCTATCTGAAGGTTTACTACCCTGAGATAACAGCCTGGAAGGCATGCTCACATGGCATATCATAGACACCCTGTTCAACCTGTACAGAAGTTTTAATTAAGGCACTCTAATGGCTACACAACCCTCAAATAACCTAGAGTCCTTTAAGGGTAAGGACGGGGCACATGATGTTAGACTCATATTTGACAGACCAATCAGCCCTCGATGGGTGATTTGGTCAACAGCATGGTGGTAACCTTTACTTCTACAGTACCAATTTTAGGTGGACCTGAAAGCCAAGTTTAATTATGGAAAAAAAAAAACATATAAGCGTCCCTGAACAACACCACCTTCAGGCCAGCAGATAAGTATCTAGACACTACATTGCAACAGTTCCCTTTGTGTACTGGGTTCATTAATAATTACATCTGTCTCAAATTTGCTTTCAAGAAGTAAATGATCTCAATTTAATAACCAGTGCTCGTGAGCGCACACAAGCTGAGAACCCCTGAAACAGATATATTACCCAAACCATTGTTTTCAATTACTTCTTTGAGAGTAAATATAAATGTTACAATCAATCTCTCAGGCCAGCTATTAACTGACACAAATGCATAACAGTATTACATACAACATTCAACTTTACTTTCTTGAAACAAACAAGTCTCATCTGCGTAACAGATGTTAACAACAAATCCCTCCTTTCCTTACATTCACATGAGAGAATGTGGGCTTTACCCTTTCTTTTTAAATTTAACATTGCATTTCTGTCCAAGTGTCTCCAACTGTGTGTGTACATGTGAAAACATGTTTAATCCATATTGAATGTAAACTCAGGTCAGGTTCACACTGTTTACGGATACCCGTGTGGGTTCCCCGGCCTCAATGGGGGAGAAATAAAATAACCTTTGCACCCGCCCACCCCCCTCCTCCAACCAAGCAGGGTGTAAAAGACGACTAATTAGCGATGCACTGAACATGAACAAAACATAATGGAAGAATAGACTGTGAGTCCTTTGTGACATATAATGGACAACAGGACTACGATGATGATGAAATTGGATGCGTTGTGCCGAAAGAATATATTACTCTAACTGTAAACCAAAACACAATGCAGAAGAATACAAAACATGAACTGAACATGTAGAACACAACATATTGTGGCTGTTTGACAGATAAGTGGTTGTAAGGTCTGCCTGCAAGAGACAGTGTGTTATTATTCTTACGCCCATACGACTACAGGTTACACCAGGCTGGGGTAGCCATTGTGAATTCTCGACCCCAATTATAACTTATTTAGAGGCTGAACAAGTTATCTAGGCTTTACCGTGGTGGTCTACTATCCAGACTGCGATTTTTCAAATAGCAACCCAAAAGGCTGCCCGGGTAGGGTGGGGGAACTATATGGCGCTGAAAGTGTACTAAATTTGTAATCACTTGAAAAGTAAGTTTATTAATTCCCCCACACTTTCGTTTTCCTCCTCTCTCTCTCTGCCCCCCCCCCCCCCCCCCCCCCCCCGCTTCCCCCCAATTCCTCCCAGAAACACTGGACACACGCTGAGAATAAATGAGCAGATAATCACCAAACAGGCAGTAAAATGGAAAACATAGGGATTAAAGAGGCGAGGACGCCCCCCCCCCCCCCCCCCACCTCCACCCCAATACCTACATGAACATTGATAAAAGATGCCAAAGGTGCTGGACTGAATTCCCTCAATGATATTAAACTGAGTGCACAGGAGTGAGCCCTACGTGACATTTAAAAGTCTCGGCAGAGAGAGCAGAATGTAGGTTGTCTAAAAAACATGGCCATGAACTTGTGACCATTGACCTGGTGCACTCTCCTTCGCATAGCTCCCCGCCGTCGATTAAGCATCCCCTCTTTTTCCTTGAATACCTTCTCTTTCGGGGTTGCTGACTCTGCGAGTAGAGAAATGACAAACAAAGATGGTAAACAACACTTTTTTTATTAGCTTGTAGCTATAATTTCCTTTTGTAAAATTTCAACAAAATCTAGCATATAATACACTAAAACATGTAACAAAAGATCAGAATACATATATAGGATGTCAAATCCAGTTACCATCATCAGTTGAGATGAGTCAAGTTGACGATTCAAGAACCGACATCACAGTACTCAGGCATTCCCATAAGCGCTCTGCCTATATTTTCAGCAGCCAGCGCAAAGTTCCAATACTAATGGTGCCAGTATAATTCTGATTAAATGTCCGCCTTGCCTTTCGTCTGAGTGTCGAGCATCGGCCAGAACCCCTCGTCACTCTCCGCTGCATCCATCTCACCAGAGTGTGGTAATCCATTTGCTCCTCTGAATTGTAAACACCTTGGTACGCCTAGATATCACACGGCTCTAACCACGTCTACCTTAGCAGGCATCAATACACCATCAATTTGTGCAGAGCCAGTCAGTCTGTCCGTCTGTTCATTTCCCAAAGGACCAGCGAATCCCGGAGAAAAGATCCAGACAATACTCCTCACCCATGACCTTCACAGCATGCCACTCTGCACGAAGTTACCATCATCATCCAGATAAGCCACCGTTGCCATTAAACGTCCTGGAGAGCAGCAATTTGCGATCACGTGCATGCTGACTGGCAATGGCTATTGTCAAGCTGTGGAGGCGTAAAGTGTCTTTAATGTTGTGAATCCATGTTTTTTCCCATGGCTGTCATCATGTTCTTGTAGCTGATCTTGAGATGTAGTGCCTGTGATGGTATTTGATGTTGCTGCATTTGTTGCTACGGTCTGTATGATGATTGTATCATTATTCACTCGTTCTCAGATGGTAAGGATGGCGGTTTTTCAGGCAAGCAAAAATTATGTGGATACCGGCTTTAGATAATGGCCATATTTGGCACCAGTAGCTCAAAGTTAGTATAAATACTGCCCAAAGACTGATCACAAATGCAGCTATGTGTCTGTCTATAGGCTAAGCTTGCAGAGAGGAAGTTCATGTGGTTGTTCTCCCTTTGTTTCCACATTGCCATATTTTCTTATTCTTTTATTAATCTTTGTCTACCACTTCTTTTTCTTCCATTTCTAAAGTAGCATATACAGTAGACTGTAATAACCAACCCAAGGCCTAATGTGGCAGAAGGGTAGAGAAGATTTCTAAACAGCTGGATATGGTGGAGTTAAAAAATAATCAGTTTCTACTTTACCCATATCATTTAATCCACCTTTTTTATACCAAATCTTGCTCTTTGTAGTGTATGTTTAAAACATTTATTATGGATAAAGGAAGTTTAAAAATAATAATACTGTTCACATTTAAGGATAAAATTTATAATGTCTATAATCTATATTGGTATACTATAGACTAGATATGCTACCATGCTTTCAGAGACTAGACTAGCTGCCATTCTATCAGAAACGAGACTATTTACTGTGCCACCAGAGACCAGAATAGATACCATGGCACCAGATACTAGACTGGCTACCATGCCACTGTTGTTTGTCCATCATGAGTGATAAAGACCGCTTTTCATCCAAAGTAGTAATTAATGATCAATAATTATGAGTACGAAGGTGGCTGATTAGTCCAATATGAGCCCAGAGAGTTCTTGAGCAGTGTGGACAACAGATGGAAGCATGTGGACATGTGGGATTAGCAATACGGTTCTTTCTAGTCTGCCTCAGTTTCTCTGCCTGTGCAACCTCAGCTGTCTGGCAAGCTGATGCACCATGCCTGAGGGATGTGCACCATTCAGAACTTTCATGTGCAGCAGCCTCCCATGTCGCTGTGTTGATGTCAAAAACATTGAGAGCAGTTTTGCTAGTGTCTTTATAGCGCTTTTTCTGTCCTCCCTGGGACGTCTTCTGTTGCTGGAGCTTCCCATAAAATACTCTCTTTGGGAGGCGATAGTCTGGCATGCAAGCTAGATGATTCGCCCAACGCAGCTGATAATTCTTCAGTATCGAGTGGATGCAAGGCAGGTTTGCCCTATCAATAGCCACACAGTATTTGGGATCCTATCTTGCCATTTGATTTTGAGCAGCTTTCTGAGACAAGTTATATGAAACTGATTCAACTTTTTAGCATGGCCCTGATACACTGTCCACGTTTTGCAAGCAGTACTGGAAGAATTAGGTAAAGTAAAAGACCCTTTTCCACGCCTTTAGGGCATATAGGGCTAGACCTATATTTTTATAGACCAATCAGCACAAGATGGGTGATGTGGTCAGTATCACGCCGGCTGCCCTTACTTCCCGGGACTGCACCCGGTACCCACTCAAGGCTGGGTCGACCTGGGAGCCAAGGTCATTTTTTTAAAAAGCCCGGCTCCGCCAGGGAGCAAACCCACGACCTTCCGATCCACGGCGAGCCACAGCGACTCCCACTGGAAGAATAACAGCTTTGTAAACCTTTAGTTTGGTCAGCAGGGAGATACCACTTCTGTTCCAGACACCGGTATAAAGTCTGCTGAAACAGCTGCTGGCCTTAGTGATTATTTTGTTGATCTTAACATGAATGTTGATTTTCTGAGATAGGGTACTGCCAAGATAGGTGAATCTGTAGACAACATTTAGCCTTTGATGATTTACGGTAATAGTGGGAACACAGTAATTTTTTCTGGAAGCTGGTTGATAGATATCAACAGTTTTATCAGCATTGATAGTTAGCCTAAAGTTGGTACAAGCGTCAAATAATCTATTGATGATGTGCACTATGCCACCAGAGACTAGACAAGCTACCATGTCACCAGAGACTAGACTAGCTACCATGCCCCCAGAGACTAGACAAGCTACCATGCCCCCAGAGACTAGACTAGCTACCATGCCCCCAGAGACTAGACAAGCTACCATGTCACCAGAGACTAGACTAGCTACCATGCCCCCAGAGACTAGACAAGCTACCATGCCCCCAGAGACTAGACCAGCTACCATGCCCCCAGAGACTAGACAAGCTACCATGTCACCAGAGACTAGACTAGCTACCATGCCACCAGAGACTAGACAAGCTACCATGTCACCAGAGACTAGACTAGCTACCATGCCCCCAGAGACTAGACAAGCTACCATGTCACCAGAGACTAGACTAGCTACCATGTCACCAGAGACTAGACTAGCTACCATGCCCCCAGAGACTAGACTAGCTACCATGCCCCCAGAGACTAGACTAGCTACCATGCCCCCAGAGACTAGACAAGCTACCATGTCACCAGAGACTAGACTAGCTACCATGCCCCCAGAGTCTAGACAAGCTACCATGCCACCAGAGACTAGACTAGCTACCATGCCCCCAGAGACTAGACTAGCTACCATGCCCCCAAAGCTACCATGCCACCAGAAACTAGACTAGCTACCATGCCCCCAGAGACTAGACAAGCTACCATGTCCCCAGAGACTAGACTAGCTACCATGCCCCCAGAGACTAGACAAGCTACCATGCCACCAGACACTAGACAAGCTACCATGCCACCAAAGACTAGACCAGCTACCATGCCACCAGAGACTAGACTACCATGCCACCAGAGACTAGACTAGCTACCATGCTACCAGAGACTATACTAGCTACCATGCCACCAGAGACTAGACAAGCTACCATGCCACCAGAGACTAGACAAGTCAACATGCCATCAGAGACTAGACAAGCTACCATGCCACCAAAGACTAGACTAGCTAGCATGCCACCAGAGACTAGAATAGCTACCATGCCACCAGAGACTATACTAGCTACCATGCCACCAGAGACTATACTAGCTACCATGCCACCAGAGACTATACTAGCTACCATGCCACCAGAGACTATACTAGCTACCATGCCCCCAAAGCTACCATGCCCCCAGAGACTAGACTAGCTACCATGCCACCAGAGACTAGACAAGCTACCATGCCACCAGAGACTAGACAAGTCAACATGCCATCAGAGACTAGACAAGCTACCATGCCACCAAAGACTAGACTAGCTAGCATGCCACCAGAGACTAGACAAGTCAACATGCCATCAGAGACTAGACAAGCTACCATGCCACCAAAGACTAGACTAGCTAGCATGCCACCAGAGACTAGAATAGCTACCATGCCACCAGAGACTATACTAGCTACCATGCCACCAGAGACTAGACTACCATGCCACCAGAGACTAGACAAGTCAACATGCCACCAAAGACTAGACTAGCTACCATGCCACCAGAGACTAGACTAGCTACCATGCCACCAGAGACTATACTAGCTACCATGCCACCAGAGACTAGACTAGCTACCATGCCACCAGAGACTATACTAGCTACCATGCCACCAGAGACTAGACTAGCTACCATGCCCCCAAAGCTACCATGCCACCAGAAACTAGACTAGCTACCATGCCCCCAGAGACTAGACAAGCTACCATGTCCCCAGAGACTAGACTAGCTACCATGCCCCCAGAGACTAGACAAGCTACCATGCCACCAGACACTAGACAAGCTACCATGCCACCAAAGACTAGACCAGCTACCATGCCACCAGAGACTAGACTACCATGCCACCAGAGACTAGACTAGCTACCATGCTACCAGAGACTATACTAGCTACCATGCCACCAGAGACTAGACAAGCTACCATGCCACCAGAGACTAGACAAGTCAACATGCCATCAGAGACTAGACAAGCTACCATGCCACCAAAGACTAGACTAGCTAGCATGCCACCAGAGACTAGAATAGCTACCATGCCACCAGAGACTATACTAGCTACCATGCCACCAGAGACTATACTAGCTACCATGCCACCAGAGACTATACTAGCTACCATGCCACCAGAGACTATACTAGCTACCATGCCCCCAAAGCTACCATGCCCCCAGAGACTAGACTAGCTACCATGCCACCAGAGACTAGACAAGCTACCATGCCACCAGAGACTAGACAAGTCAACATGCCATCAGAGACTAGACAAGCTACCATGCCACCAAAGACTAG